AAAAAAGTGTGGAGGGTAGTTCTTCATAAGACGTCTAGGGAGGGAAATTTACAATCCCAAAAATGGTTGCCTAAAGCTAGGAGCCATGAATTTTTTTTTTTTTTCTGGAAAAGGGATTTTTGAGGATTTAGTAACTAAGTCACAAGCACCTGATTTCATCCATGCAATATGAATGTTTAAAATTACTTAAATTGTATGTATTAATGAGACATGCAGAAAGAAAGTCTACATGCTGACTTTTGGTCCTAATTTTGTTATGTGATATCAGCAAATCCTGTACCTATAATCCAATAATTGAAAAGGAAAAGGAGAAATATTATGTTTTTCTCTAAACTTTTAAAGTTTATTCCCATCTGCCCTATGAGGAGAGGCTGAGGGAGCTGGGCCTGTTCAGCCTGGAGAAGAGAAAGCTGAGAGGCGATCTAATCAGTCTATAAATACCTCAAGGGAGGCAGTGAGGAGGATGGGGCGGCCTCTCTTCACTGGTGCCCACCAACAGAACTAGAGGAAATGGCTGGAAACTGAAGCACCAAAAGTTCCACAGGAACTTAAGGAAAAATTTCTTGACAGTGAGGGTGACAGAGCGCTGGAACAGGCTGCCCAGAGAGGTTGTGGAATCTCCTTCTCTGGAGATCTTCCAAACCCGCTTGGACGCAGTCCTGTGCCACGTGCTCTAGGTGACCCTAAGTGTGCAGGGGGTTGGACTAGGTGACCTCTAGAGGTCCCTTCCAACCCTAAGCATTCTATGATTGGTCTTATTTTATTGTATGGCACTCACAAGGAAGGCACATGAACTTAAGTGAGTAAAAGAGATGTATGCATGTATTCATTTATTTAAAGTTAGCTGGCTTTTGAATACATAAATGAAGTATTCATGTTACTGTTATATCATAAGCTGAACTGATAGCAAAGATATATATTTACAGTACAAATGAACAGAGATCTTTAGAAAATTTTACATATATGGATTTTTGAACTATCTTGAGGAAAATGTAAGAATGAAGTATATTTTCAAAACACAATTAGTTTCCATATAAAAAGAGAAAAAAAACAAGAATTAAACGTATTCTAAAGTAATATACCCCATACTAGTAAAAAAAAAATAGGGAGAACAATTTGCTGAGAGCTTTCTAAGATGTTCTGAGCATGAGTGAATTCTAGTGATAACGATGAGAGGTGTGAGAGATCAACACTTTTATGGGCAAGATGAGACTGCTCTGTGAGATCAGATAGCTAAGCTGCAAGAGCTTAATAGGATCCAGACTATACTTTCTAGCCTATATACCAATACCTGTCTGGTGCAATTTTATTATACCTCACATTAAGCAATGATGTGTCCTGTGCTACTGGGCAGTCATACATTGTGGCAAGTTAAATTGTCTAATGGGAATAACATTCCATAGGAGTGCAAAAGTGCCCTTTTAAATCAGAATTGAGTAGCTTAAAAATACATTATTCATTATGATAGCATCTCGTGCCACTTATAGGTTTTGTTCTCACTGTAGCTATTTCTACAATAGTCTGTACTATTTGAATAATTGGCTGTATGAACTATGCAAAACAGGAACAAGAATAGGCCCACTCATTCCTGTTATCTCTGCTGAAATTTCATCACGTCACTGCAGAAATCTTTGTCAAAAGGAAAAGCTAAATCTAAACATAGTAAACAAATGACTGTAACTGCTGTTCAGAACTTGGATGCCATAGAAACTACATGGCTTTCTCCCACTTCCTCTTCTTGATTTAGCAGTGTTTTCTAATAAATTTGGGTCATTTTTTTTCGGGCACCAGGACTAGTCTGCTGTCAGCTACCAAATTGAGAAACATCTTCACTACAAGTCTGAGGTAAATTTAGACTTTATTTCCGTATCCTCGGTAGTGGCAGACAACCAAGTCATCTAGACCCTGTCTTGCTGGATTAGCAGACAGGGGTGTCAAAAACTATAAACAATTGTTCACTTAATGATTTACATCAGCTCTGAACCATACCCTCAGCAACTCCAGGGTGTCAGAGTGTAAAAAATTACTCAAGGTCTTGCTTAATCACTTGTATCAATTTGAAACAATATCTTCAGCATCTGAAGAGCATGGCAACTGCAGCATTACTGAAGCAATAAAATGTACTCATCCTTTTCAAATAACAGAAGAGGTTATTTTAGAGAATGAGAAGGGAGCCATCTCTATTGACCCAAAGGGATCTAAAGAGGTCCAAAAGTGGGACCATAAAACTGTTTTCAGCTAAGCATTGCTGTCCTCCCCAGATTCTGAGGATATATACATAATCTCCAACTCTTAAAAGATAATTTTCCCTCTATAGGAGTATGTGTATAATTTAACAATTAAGCAATGACCAATATAATATTTTTCAAGGGTTCAGACTAACAAAATAATTGTATTACCTTTGCATTGCAGAGTATGTCCAGTACAGAAGATCATGCACAAATCATGCCATGTTTGTTCCATCTGTTTTAGCCATCACCTCAGAACTACTGATTCATGCTTGCACAAAGCAAAGCAAATCTGACCTAGTCTGTTACCAGATAAGGACTGAGATATACCTTCATTATTCCATTTATTCACCATTTATTCACCACAACAGGCCAAGCCATCTTGCTTGTAAAACAAGAATTTACATTACGACCCCCACAGGGCAGCACAAAGCAGAGCATACAAGCAACTTGAATGAAACCAGTGGCCCTGGCTCTGTCAGCTGGTCTGTTCATGGAACGAGATTATTATTGTGATTATGAAAGTGAGCATGGCTAGCCCTCTCACTGGTTGTGACACATCCGTAGATGATGTTCCATTTAAATCTCTGCTGCTTGCTATGTAACCGGAAAACACAAAACTAAACATATGTGTTGCAAATAGTCACATCCTCAGAGTATGACACTTAATATCCATTCAAAGCATGATACTCATTTAATGTGGAGATGACAACATGAAAGGAAGAGGGTATGGCAAGTAGGAAGCGTTGATGGGATGCAGAGGAAAAAGGGCAATAGATAAAAGACAGATAAAGAACAGTGTGTGTGTGTGTGTGTGTGTAAGAAAGAGAATAAGATATTGTTGTCCTCTCTTCCTTATCCTTAGATTAAAATTGACTTCAAGAAATCCATCTCTCTCCACTTGCAGTTGGATGCCAGTAGAGTCAACCCACAAGCAGAAATTGGCATTGTGTTCTAGCAATGTAGTTTGCTCTTGTTTTTTTGCAGTATAAAACGACTGAACCCTGAGAGGGTAATCTCTGTTAGATCTCCTTTTTTTAAATCATACCTAGCATTCCAGGTAGGTAGGTTAGGCTATTTTTTTTTTTTAATCTAGAAATTATTGCCAGTTTGCAAGTATGACCCATGTATTTCAACACATGCTCATTCCTTTTTTTTCCTAAAGATGCAGTCCATCTGAGTTACAAAAATCTATTTCCATGCATAGAAATGCTAGGGGATAAAATCATGATACTGAAAGTAGGCTACACTTAGGTAAATAATTATCACTAAAAGATGCTCAAAGAATCACGTTCGAAGTTCTGTACATAGCTAGCAATTTTGCTACCCTAAAAACATTTAAATGTTTCTATTGTGATTTACAATAGATACACCGTTCTATTGTAACAGTATTTACGTGGCCTAAGACTCTCCTTATTAGCTTCTTTTATTTAATCATCTGTCTGACCAAAAAGCTGCTTATTTAACCCAGAAATATCTATCAATATTTTGCAATTTGACTGCACAATGTTTTTCATCAGTGATCTCAAACTAAGTTTTGCAGTCATTCCTCCCTCCATTACCCTGAGACTCAAGCCTAACTAAAATATTGCTTGTTAATGTTGCTTGTTAAAATCCAAAATACTGCTGCCCATTAGCATAAAACTTGAAAACTTCATATCAAAACAATAAAAAAGAGAAGGTCTTGTTTACCTTCTCAGCCATTCAGCATGTCTTGTAGCTGCTGGCATGGATCTGCATTCCTCAAGGCGAACTCTGATGGTGGCTGGTAGCAGGGGCTGCTACGTAAGATTTGAAAATATCCTCCCTGTTGGATGCTACTGTGGAACTGGGTGAAAAGTGTACACTATGATAAGGCATGAATTCTGTGATACACTCAAATCCAACTTCTGCAACTATGACATTTTCACTGCTCTTGTGAGAGTTAAAAAAAAAAAAAAAAGGTCAAATAAAACACGTCACGATATAGATGTTGACCTCACAATTAAGGCGATAAACACTAAACCTTCCTTGGGTCAACTAAATTTTAAGAGATTTTGTACAACTCTGGAAAGTGGAGCTGGCTATGAATATTGCACAAGTATGACAATTGTGAGGTTTCATTTTGCCATAAATTACAGTAAAAATAGTCCCATTATAGTTAGGAGAAACTTGGTCTTCATTTGTATATATGACACTGCTGTAGGAATCATATATTTGAAAACTGAATTTCAGTCTAGAAACAAATGAGATTTTGGTATGAATGCCTTTGGCGCCTGTACTGTTAGTTCATTACCTTTCTTTTATCAGTTTTCTAGTTTACCAACAGTTAGTTTGGGGAACCAATAACAGTGTGACAATTTGGCTCCATTCAGTATTTTTCAAAACTTATCAATGGATTTGTACAGTGAAGAATGCACTGGAACCAATACATGCTATTTAGTTTAAAGTTGTTTCACATTTAAATAAGCTTTAGTCAGACACATGCATTGAAATTTAGACACACTTACCTCCTTGTGTGATCCTTTTAATGTTGTCTCGTCTTTTTCTTCCCCCTCTTGTAACTTCCCATTAGTAACATACTGGCAATATGGAGTGGACATTCTTTTTCTCTTTTTACAGCAAATGTACATGTAGGCCACAAATGTACCTCTATTTTTCTCTTAGCTGCAATTTCTTTGTATCATTCTCTAGCATAAAAAAAAAAAAGTCAGTAAGTCAAATATTGCAAAACCTAGAGTTGAAAACCACGTAACCATAAACTAAATGTTGTTTATTTTTCCCCCCCCACAGCATTCTGATTCCAATTGTAACCTGAAGAAGCGAATAAACTCAGTAACATCTCAAGCAGAACAGTCTCCTCACGCAAGCATAATATCAGATATTACATCCCAGTGTCAACCAGCGTCTGCTGCTCCACCAGCCCCACCACCACCACCACCACCTATTGGAGGGACAAGTAAAATAGACCAGTATTCTAGGATCCTCTTTCCAGTGGCATTTGCAGGATTCAACCTGGTGTACTGGGTTGTTTACCTTTCAAAAGACACTATGGAAGTGAGTAGTAGAATTTTATGGTACTCAGTTATAATACCTAATACATGCACTGGACCAATGTTCATTTGGTTGTTCATTTAATCTTGCAACTCTGGTTAACCAGCTCTTTGCAAGGGAAATGATTGATATTACTTTTCTGTAAAAATCAGCTGTGGCTTCCAGTAATAAAGCCATTCGGGGTACAATGCCAAAAATCAATTTGAAGCTAAGAAATATAAACACTTCTAAACTATATGGCACTGAGTAGGACACAGACAATTGTGTAAGGCAGTATATGATGCTGTTCTCAGCAAATACTCAAATCTTGTGTCTTCCATTTCTTAAAATTCTTATCTGTAGTTAAAGAATGGCAGAACATTTGTTGAAGCAATGCAGCAAAGGAGATAAAAACCTTAATGTCCCCTAAAATTTCTTCAATGAGGTAATAAGATAACATTCTCAAGAAAAAATATTTCGTGTGCCTTCCAAACACTTATCAATAGGGCAAAGAATTGGCTGCACTCAGTGCACACAAGATACAGTTCTGATAAAATGTATAAGAACAGGGACTCAATTGTAAAATTGACTTTTTCTGTTCCTTTAATATAACTGGACTGTTTTATGCAGACAGAGCTACTGAATACTTGGCTTGAATTTGTTTGAATCAAGCAGTAAGATATCCTGTCTTTAGATTTGCAGGAGGTCCAGAAGAGATGTGTGCCTTAAATATTGAGCATGCCTAGAATAATCAGTCAGTGATTAGCTTATTTTCAAGCCATTATTAAGCTTCAAGTCTTTAATGCTTTAATTTCCTAATTTTTCCTTCATATAAATACAGCTAATGGTGTCCCATTTTGTTGGTACAAAATATATTTATTTGCCTTTCTGCTATAGAGTTTTGGAAACTTTTTAAAACAAAATACTCAGTTGTCAGTAAAATCGCTACATTTAGCTATATTTAGGACAGCTAGATAATGACGATATGCAAAAACTCCATATTGCAAAAACTCCATACGTAAACCAAAGCAGAGGTTTGCAATCTGTTATGAGTGGTGTGCAGATTATACCTTCATTTCCTAGATTAGAGGTAAAGCAGGCAAAGGGAAATCTCATGGAGATCCAGGAGATGTTGCAGCTCACAGCAGCAAGATAGTATTGATCAGCCGAGTGGTTGCAGCTTGCCCCTGCTTGAAGCAGAGGCTACTAGCTGCTAGTTCTACTGATTTCTGCTGCTAGGATGATCTGGAAAGCACTGCCTCTCAAAGAGGGTGTGTGCTGCCAAGCAGCTTGTAGGAAGCAGGAGGGCAGGAGGATGCGAGGCACCATCTCTTACAAACGTTGCTGCAGATGTCTCTCTCAAGAGGTCACAGCTGCTAACTCCTGGCCACTCAAAATCTGTCCATCCATAAATTTAGCATTTGTGCCAGAGATACTGATCCCTCTTAAAATATGGACTACGTGTGCACATTATTTGTCACAATCAAGAGAAGTATTGAAAAAGCTCATGTGTAATTATGATAGCTTCTGGTAGCATGCTGTTTAGGGGCTACTTAGTTTATGCAGCTTGCCACAACTGCAGTGATTTCACTGAACCATTAACATTTTGGATATAGAAGTGTTTAGAAGATGGCTGCTGAGTTCCCTCGGTAGCTATGAAATATTTATACTGAACTGTGTACAATAAGTGTTATATTAGAACTAGCCATCTGAAATACTAAAAACTAGGCCAGAATGCTGACTGTAAAAACCTTTATAACATTTCACTTCTGCAAACTCAAACTTGCACAAAATTCAGTAATCACTTTCTGTAGTATTGTTAGAGAATGACAGAAATCCACCAGCAAGATTTGGAGAAATGGAGAATGTGAGCAATTATGTAAGACATTAAGTTCTGCATTAATTGCATTTTCCTGTTTACTCAGTTCTAAATAGCAATGGTTGTGATATGTATTTCTGGGTTTTTATTTCCCTGCTTGAGCAGGGAGATTTGACTAGATCTCTAGAAGTCCCTTCCAACCTCAACCATTCTGTGATTCTGTAATTCTATGTTCTATCAAGGCTGTTTTTGCTTTAAATATGTATAAAAATGTTATCTCTCCATTCAAGCAAAGAACATACAGAATTTAGATGAGCAAAGCATGGCATGCTCAAAGCCATCTCAGCTCAATTACAGACTCAGACCTAAAACATCACGCATTTGTACAATACTACTCAGAGTTATCGAGTAGTATTGTACTTTGTGAAGAAAGTGCATTTTATGTGGTAAATATTAGCTTTTGGAGTTACTGCTAGAGTTAAACTGTCTTTTGTTTAAAAAGAAAAAGGCAATAGAAATCTTATCAGCTTGAAATAGGAAATAACCAAACTGCCTGGGCACAGGTTCTTGTAGTCCAGCTGTCCCCGATTTTGATTAGTGCAGTCTGGAATGTGCTTCACTTGCATCACTCCAAACAAGCGTTGCTTGATTGGAATTTCTACACTGGTCCCAATCTGACACACAAGACATCTAGTCTCCTTTGGGAATTCTCTCCACCCAACAAAGCACTGCACTTGGGGAGCTCATTTCCCTGCCTTTGACTGCTTAAGGGCCTCAAAATAGAGGAGCCTGATGACACCACAGTCAACTACTGACATTACACGTGTTATTGCGGAGATTCCTATATTGAATAGCTACCTACACTCATTGGATGGCCCATACACAGTAATTGACAAAACCATAGAAGTTAAGCTAATGTAATCTTTCACCTGCATTTTGCTAGACTGCATATTATTTGAGCCTTGTTTAACTGAAAACATTAAAGAATAAAAATAATTTGAAAATATTTACATAAAATAACTCCTTTACAACATAAAGGTTATTAAAGATAGGAAATATGAAAATATGAGATCCCCATGATTTGTACATGCAAAACAATCTTGCCAGTTTCCTATGATGCATGTTCTTCTGCAAAGCACAATAATGCCCACCAGCCAAAAAGCTCTACACAGCAACAAACACCACATATTCGTATATATTACTCAAAGTTCTTAAAAGGAGAACAAATTTACTTGACAAATGGTAAAGTTATTCTTTTAATTTCTTATACATGCATTTCTTAAACCTTGCTAAGTCCTTAGCACAATGATTTTAATAGGTGAATTGCATGTTGTGTTTAATGTAATTTAAATTATTAATTTAAAATTTAGTTCACTTAGAAAGTAAATACCCCTTAAATTACAAAAATAGGTACACAGACTACTTAAGCCTTGTCATAGTTCACATTTTTATGCATATTATGACACCTCTTTTTTTAAGTAACCTGCATCAGTTATTATACAGAACATTATGTTACAGTTTTTCTGTATTAAAACATGGACTAGTGTCTGCATGGAGTCAATCAGTCTAAAGGAGATGATTTAAAAGTTTTCAAGATAATCTGCAGGAAAATATTACAGGAGATATCTAGTAACTTTTTTTATCCTAAAGGTGTGAAAAAAGTAAAAAGTCATTGAACACGCTAAACACGCCAAGCACTTGGCTCAGAATATCCATGTTCATAAAGCTTGCCAATCATATGGGAGAATAAAGTCCAGGAGAAAATAGTTATATTAAGCTACCTATAATTAAGCTTTGTTGATCCAGACAATGTATTTCAGATTGAGAAGAATCTCCCTTCTCATATAATTATATTTTAAGCCTGCAGAGACAGCAAAAATTAAAGGTAACAATTGATGTGGTTTTCTTAATACATTATTGACTATTTGTAACTTAAATTTGCCTTTTCTTCCAGTTTTTTGAACCAACTGCAATGCATCTTCGAAATGATCATCAGCCCAATTGAAAAGTAATAGAAGGTTCACAAGGAAAACTATTGAAGAATTTGTAACATTTCGGTTACTTGAAAGGATATATCTCTTCACAGGTGCTCTAATCAAACAGGAAACACTCATATTGAACTTCTCCTGGAAACATCACCTGGCCAATTCAAAAAAATGGAAGTTGTACAGAGTTCTAAACATACTTTCTTATAATTTGTTATTTGATTCTTCTATAAAATAGTTACTTTGTTGAATGGTCAAAGAATATGAATGTGTATTTGTTATAGTACTTTTGTAAATGATTGAATGTTTACACCCACATGCACCATCAGACCTAGAATTATTTTTCTTACTACAGTTAGGTTGGCTAAAGTCAGATTCTGAACTGGTAAAACTTATTACAGCTTCACTGAAACCTTAGAAGCTGCAGTGATTTTTATCTGTTGAAACTGGTCTAAAATAAGACAATCCCATGAAAGGAAGCTACACTATCCTTTTCTTCTCCTTTAAAACTATAAGCAATATTTGTAAAAAAAGTATAATAAGGAGAAAAACTGTTATAAGATTAAGCTGCTTCATTATGATGCTATTTTTGGTGAGAGTGACAGTGGAAGTACAAACTAATCACAACCAATCTGAGGGCAGGATCTGGGAATGGCAGGATTGACACCAGGAAGTTTGAGGTTCAAAAGTGGACAGACAACAGCAGCTTCCCATCAAGCAAAACACAAGCCTATGGCTCCAGGAAGCTTCCCAGTAGCAAGTCCCCACATCTGGGGAAACAGCTGCATTTTATCAGCCGTTGTACTGAACTGCCCACAGCAACCTACCAGGACCCTTTTGCAGCAGCAGGAACTATCAGCTAATTTATCACTCTCACCAAAAATGTGCAGGATTTCTTTCATGTTTCCTAGTCATCACCTCATTGTACATTCATTTTTCAGCTCCATAATCATTGTTAAGAATGTAATTAGTTAAGATATACCTAACTAAACCAAAACCAGGCCTTCGCGTTGCAGGGATAATGGAAACTCGTGGGCGGCAAAAGCACCCAAGCAAATGTTACAAGTAGCAAAACATAAATTAAGGACTCCTATCCTGAAATTAATTCTAGTATATCAAAACTCAATTTATTTGAAAGAGAAAAATGAAATCTGGCATTGTTTTTTTTTTTTTTTTTTCTCTAAACAAATATCTCAGTCTCTATGAGAAAACAATTAGGGTCTGGCTGGTTAAGGTAAGTCATCAAAAGCTGTGCTGGCAGTGTAACAATTTCAGCTATCTAAGGACCTAGCACTAGCTGTTTCTCTCCTCCCATTTTGAGGGCCGTATCACTTGTACTAGTGCAGGAATTGGATCACTGCTTGATCACATGCTAGATCACTTTTCAAATTCCCTATATTCTTTATCTCTGTAGAGCTTGGATATGGGCAATTTAAGTACATTTGATTCAGAAACAACTGCTGTCTGCAGAAAGACCGTTTATCCTCCCCCTAGCAGCAGATTGGCATACTTGGATGTATTTCTAAGTGCACTGAATTTTTTCTTTAGTTTCTGGGAAAACAAATTTGTGAAGTTTCACCCTTTTAGGCTTTCATATACCATTTTAAAAATAAAAGCATGGACCCCACTCAAAAGTATAGTTTATGTATTTACATGTCATTTTGCAAAAAGCAAATTGTGTTGTAGGGACACAATTAAATTTCCAGTGTAACTATCATAGAATCATAGAATCATAGAATGCTTAGGGTTGGAAGGGACCTCTAGAGATCATCTAGTCCAACCCCCCTGCATACGCAGGGACAAAATACTTATTTTTGATTCACAAGCTTATTCTGTGTATTGAATATGTTAGCACATGCATAGTATTCTCAGAATCCTTTAAAATTCTTTTTTTTTTTTCTCTCCACAAAATCAGTGTCAAAAAGATGCAGGAAACAAAGCTGAATTGGTTATTGCATTTCCCTTGTCTAAAGAGAACTAAAGAAGTTTTAGAGCAAATCTGGAGAACTATCGAATAATCAAAATTTTCATTACAGTGCAGAATTTATATGTATAAAATACTAGTAACTGCCTAAGTAGTAGAGTGTATCAGCACTTAAAACATACTAGCAGCACTTGGTATGTGACTTTTTAACATAACCACAAAGACTGCTTATCTTGTTTAGGAGGAGGACAAGACATGTGGGCGAAATAGAAACAATTCTCTACCTGAATATTAGCAAGGGAACATGCATTTTTGCTATTAAACACTTTGTAGAGACATGGGTATAATCAGTGAAAATATTAATAATGTCCAATTGTCTCTTAGAATACTTGCTATTTATGTCAGCTCCTTTATGTTAGCAGGTTATGCTTTCCCACTAACCAAACAAGCAACTCCGTGAAGAATCAATGAACTGGCTTATATATGTGTATTTATATGTATGTATATTTGTATACATTATATAGAATATATAAATATATTTAATGCAAAGCTGAAGGAAAGCAAGGTGGGTTTTTCCAGCCTTTTGAGCACATGCAGTAGGAAGAGCAGGAACTAAGGCAGCTGTAAGGGATTTTGTATGTGCAGAACAGGACGGACACAGAGGGAGAAGGATGGAAGTTACCTTGAGCTATTACCCCGATAATATATTTGACATTGACCTAGCTTTCTATGCATCCTAGTGGGAAGTTTTCAGCTCACAAACCCTCAAAGAGATCATGGGCAGCTTGAATTCGTCTTCAATGTGTTCTGCTTCAACAGAAATGGGAGAAACAGAACTAAGGACAAAATTACAGAATAATAACTTAGATGCAGTTGAAATCTCAGTTACATGCTAATCTCCACTTTCATTGTGTGGGGAGTTCTAAGGTTCTCCCCACACTGTCTTTCATGATTTCTGAACAAAATAAAAATCCAGCAGCTCAAGATATATATGGCACTCTAGATGAGCTCTGTGATCTGTGTTCAAAGAGTAATCCTTACCAGGAGCTAACACAAGCAATGTATAAATCCCTGAAATATGGTTGTGAATATCAAAGTCCTGAATACCTCTGTTATGTATTCAGCTCGATATCAAGTACTGTCCATGATTTTGATGCATCTTGTCAAGGTACTCGCTTACTGGTTTTGTTATTATTATATACACGTAAACAAAATTCAAATGCAACTTGGTCTTTGTTTAGTTTTGTTACATTCTTGTTTCTCTTCCAGTTCATGAGAAGAGCATTCCTCAACTACTTCACAGCATTCATTCTTGCAGGATTTTCCTGTAATCAGTAAACAATTAAAGCCTTTCAAGTCTGTTCGGATCCTGTCTGCCACTTGGCCCTACGAAGATAAAAGTCCTTATCCAAAAGCAGAACTGGTAGAGACTTCAGGAGAATAAACTGTTCCATTCCTAATCTCTTCCATGTTTTCTGATTATATTTGAGACATCGCAAAACAGAAAGGTTGTCTAAGATGCACAAAACATTCCCCAAGTACCAAAGGATCCATACAAGCAGCCATCTTGAGGGTCTCTGGTTTGAAAAACATTCTGAATTCTGTCCAGAAACAATCCTAACCCACATGTATAATACAGTTACCTAAAATTAGGACATCACAAGTTTGTAGACATTCATAAAACATTTAAGATGCATTTTTGCTAAACCAAAAAATAAAGCCCAAACTTTGCAACACATCTGGATTGTAACCAACTGAGTATTTTTAGACAGCAGTCATTAATCATGACGTTTATGAAAACATCATCCGTCCCCGGTTATGACTAGACTTTTTTATTCCATAAATAAGACTGAAGTTTTAATAGTTTAAGAATATTCTTTAACCTTAATTCTTTAGTAAATTCTTTACATGCCTTAAGTAGCAAATACTGTTCTTTGGCCAATATGAAACTAGATATTCAAGCAGTATTGCAAAGGTTTGGGGTAGGGGGTTTCATGCCTGCTTTATTTACCATAGAATTTTCATGGAGCAGGTAGAAATGCTTTTGAATTAATAAAACTGACCATCAAGACCTTTAGTGCAATGTTTAACATCTACCACCTATAAATAAATCAAAACATTTACAGTAGCTGAATGTCATCCTAGCTGTGGATAATATTAGTAACACAGCTATTGTACAAAGTTGACTTATCTAAAGGCAAAACTTTGTGTGTCTACTTGGACTATCTGGAAACATGCTCCTAAAGAGAGGTATAGGGAGAGGTTTACACATTTAAAATCAGTTTGAGATCTGTGGCAGGTGTGCTTCTTCCCCAGTCCAGCCTGACTTCTCACACATTGCCCTCATCAGATGTTAAATGACACATTATCTGATCTGGTAGTTGCCTCCATGATCATAGTAAGAGACAAGAAATACCAAAATTCCAACCATACCTTTTAGAGCTTGCATCCACCCTCTTCCTGTTTACCAATTGAAGAGACTCATTGTTATTTAAGACAACGCAAATAACTGGTGATCGCACTGGGAGAATGACTTCAGAGAATTATTAGTTCCATAGATTAATCTATGGTAAAGAAGAATTGTGGTGCTGAGATAGACAGGAAATGTTTGGAAATGGAATATTTTAAAGCTCAATTCAGTAAAAATCAAATATTTCAAGGCAGAACTATCTTTGCCATATATGAACAAATGGATGCTTTTTGGTCAATGTCTCAATTTTAATAAGCTATGAATTCCTCAGGGGCTAAGACCCCTGACATTCTTTTTTGGTATTTTATGTAGAAATATTCTGTAGTCTTCTCACTTGTTTCAAGCATACTTTTGTGAACCAAAGTGAAGCCTCTTAATACTGTGTAGTAAACAATTCATGGAAACAACTGACTTGGCTAAATTGTTCCTAAGTTACTCAACAACAGCTGCACAACCTCACAAGAGTAACTGGGTAAGTATTAATAAGGAGTAATTTTTATGAACACATGTGAGACACCCAGAGCACAACCTCTGTACTACCTACTCATTTATTGGGTTGATTCCTGTGCTACCTGCTGCCAAGGGCAGATTTTCTCTTTCATTAATTAACTTTATCCAAAGCATAA